AGTACTAACTTGCTTTATCGACGATTAAATAAAAACTTGGCGACTCGCCCTGCTGACGTCGAAGTCCTCTATACTGAGCAGCATACTTGCGGACTTAAGTGCATCATTATCAACAAGATCGGTCATGTATAGGCTGTTTGCATTGTGATTACCCATTGCGCTCGATGCGGCACTGCTGTACGCGCTGGAGGTGTTTTGCACAGATACAACGTCGGTAGTCCTTTGAACGAGCCTTTTGTTTGTCATGCTCGACGTATCTGCTTCCGAGGACACGTCGAATCTGATGTCACTGAAATCAATGAAAGCGTACTTATAAAGTTTGCTTGAAAAATCAATAATCACACTGTTCAATCAAACACTGAAAAGCCATTCTATCGTATACATCGAGTTTCTCCCCGTGTTCAACTTACTAAAACACTGAAAAACCATTCTATCGTATACATTGAGTTTCTCCCCGTGTTCAACTTACTAATTTAATCAACTCTTATATTAATATATACCGATTAAAAGATAAATAATTGATTAAATAAAACACACGTAATTATTTAATATTTGTCTTAATACATAATATTCAAATATATGCACATTTGCAGCATTATTATATATTTTATTATATGAATATAACGATATATGAGTATATTTTATAAAACTTTATCATTTTCAGTTTTTGTTTGTACAAAATAACGCGTTTAATTTCTTTTTTAATTTTCCAGATTATCCTCGTTTATATTTTCCATAAAAGACAAAATGTAGTCGGTTGACAAATTCCAACGCGTACCGCATTATATTCTTTGCTATATCATATGCTGTAATAATTTTCCAGAGTTTAGAGCACGACATCTAGAGAATTTCAAATTTCAAAGATAACCTACATACCAAGAATAATCAACAGTCCGTTTATAATAACTCGTGTATGTTTAAAACTATTAAATACAGAGCCAAAATTTTGCTTCCATTCTCGTTAAAATTAAGTGCATAGCGAAACAGAGTGTTGGGATGTTTCACTTGATTACTTTACTTGAAACGAATTGAGGATAATCTAACAAATTCACAATATAAAGTTCTACATCGCCCAGTCGCAATGAAAGAATCAACCTCTTTAACTGAAAGTTCTTCAGCGTAAACAAGAGAACTTATTTTCATTTTAGAAGCAACTGCTCGCTCACATAGTTAATATTAAAATTAAATTTAATTAAGAAAACAAACGCGTAACATAAGAGATGAAGTAAGATTCAAGGAAAGGAACATCTTCATACTCACTTCAAATAGTTATTTTCCGCAGGTTGTTCGTGATTCTTCCTGGAAATCGTGTTTTTACGGGAAGTAGCTTAAGAGAGGACCAGCTCGATCGTATCGGACAAGCTCTGCAGCATCTTCAGAGCGTCTTCATTCCGCAAATGCAATAAATTCTGCCCATTTATCACCACGATGCGATCGCCTGCGGCCAATAAATTTCTCCGAATTAGTGCAACCCCGGTAAACAATGGCTCTTCAAGCTTACCTTTGTTCACGTTTCCGGCCATATCGGCCGATCCTCTTACCGATACCGCTTGGATATAGACGCCACCATCGTTACCCTCTGTCACTTACAACCATATACTGCCACCGTAGCCCCTTTCCAAGTTAATCGTCTGCAGGATTCGTTCCTCGGCAAACGACAACTCTTTAAGACGCGCTGCTAAGGAAGCGGACATCGACTTGTCCTCCAGCACACGGAACGTCTCGTCATCTGTACGGATGTCAGCGTCTGTTGGAAATAAATATCATAGAAAATCTAAATTTACAAATCATATAATCCTTGCATGATGATGAAATGCATCATGTTCGAAGAGATATTTTTATATTGAAATTAATATGTTTGCAGAATTCTTTAATTTCTTGAGATATAGGATTAAGAAGATAAAATATCTTATGTTGTATATGTTATCTGATTTAGTGAATTACATAACGCGATTGATTTCAAGAAATGCAATTAAATATAAAAATAATATATAGTACGATGATGATACAATATGTATCGATAACATAGCGTTGTATTAAAAATTTGTTAATTGTTGTATACGTTTAAATATAGGTTCGAGTGATAATTGTTAACACTTAAAAAATCTAGTCGATGTAGAAATGTTACTAACTGAGCACGTATGTTTCCGGTAGGGGAGATAACGTTGATCGTGTGGACAATGACTGAATCGAAGACTCCGTGTCTGATTTTAATGATAGCGACTCCATATTATCGATAAGGGCGGTGTCTTTCTGCACGAGGCTACTGTAGATCGCTCGTGTTTCCATTTTTACCCCTAGACGGGACGTCAGGCTAGCTGTACATGTACTGTGGAGATGCATCGACATCTGGTAATCATCTTACTCGGAGAATAGGATCTGCGTATGGCGAGCCACGGGACAGAAACCGTTGGAGTGTTTATTGTCGAGTGCCGCTACAACTATTTCTTTTTAAGAAGAGCTATACTATTACTCCATACCCTTGTTAGGCAAAACATTCATCCCTTGGCCGCGGCTACGTCCGGCGACTGGTTGTCACCTCGAGGCCAAGCTCATTATCACAAATCTCGAACAATTATAATTGAGTTAAGTTATAGAGGCTAAAATATTGGGGGTTTTCCGAAGAATTCCAAAGAAAGGCCCCGGTGTCCTTTCATCTCCGACATATATATTGCGAAAATGTTGATCTTTAAACAAATTCCCATCTTCTTTAATTTTCCCCCGAATTTTTATTTTCGCTAATTATTTTCTAAATATTCGGCTGAAAAAACTATGATATATTGAAGTAGAGGCTCCGATAAGTATCTCAGAATCTTTCCAAATACTTTGAAAGCCAAAACAGTAATTCAAATTTCATAGATAGAACCTTTTTTTTGTGGAGAAATCCTCATGGACACTCCGCTGTTCTAATAATCGCGTAACAGCAGACTAGTGTCGGACTCCTACCGACTAAAACTCCACGATGACCATCCTACGCGTATGACAGGAGTGCTCTTATGAATTAACTTCTGTTGCACCCCCTTCCCGCGTCCTCTTGTTGGAGCCAGTCCTAATAATTCCTGAGTATTGAATTTGACCTTAGGGGGGAGCATTGCCCCTAGCGCTATCGCTCCTTCTAGTCGTGGTCCGTTGGGACGGCGATGGAGCGACTCTCGGTCGCCTGACCGCCATCCTCCTCCATCGTCTTATCCTACAAGGGTGAGAGCTTTTCTTTCTCTCCTTTTCTGCTCGCTCTTTCGCGAGCATAACTCGCTCGCAGAAGAGGCGGAGGGCCTCGTATTCCTGTGACCCTCTCAACATCGCTTCTACAATCGCTGAGGGGGTCAATCCTCTTCCTATGGCGTGTCGCAGAGTGTAGCGGGGCAGCTTCCACGCCGGACAGAGCTCCAGCGTGTGCTGCGCTGTGTCCCTGCCCTCTCCGCAGTGGTGACAAATGTCTGTCGTCTCCCGTCCGATTTTTCTCAGGTGAACGGGAGGCCGCGGCGGCTTCTCCATGTCTCCCGGTTTGGGAGGACCACCTCCGCGCCTCGATGTTTACCTCCCTCGTTGATCAGCTGGGAGCACCACGGGTCCCACGTGTCTTCCTCGGCAGGTCCTAGGTCGTTTGGAGCCGCCTGCTCGATCAAATCTCCCGGATCCCATACTCTCCAGCGGGCGTATCTCCTTTTGAGCGCTATTGCCCGAAACTCCCACGGGGAGGACGCGGCTAGGGCGGTCGCCGACGCGTGAGACACCGTCCGGTATCCCCTAATGATTCTGATGGCGGTTACCCTGTGCATCCTCCTGAGGAGCAGGATGCTGCGACGACTCATCATCAGATCGTCCGCCCATACCGGGGCCCCGTACATCACTCGGGACCGAACGACGCCCTCGTATAATCGACGCACCACAACTCCCGCCCCGCCGATGCTCGGCAGCAGACCGCACAAGGCATTGGCAGCCGCCGACACCTTGGGAATCAGGGAGTCGAAGTGCGACTCGAACGTCCACTGGCTGCCGATGACGACACCCAGCTATTTCATCTGCTTCATAGATAGAACCTACGTTGAAGTTTCTACGGAGAAAGACTCTGTTTTCAAATTACTCGATATTAACAATAAAGCGCGATGACAAAATTACAATTCATTTTTAAGTCGTTTATCTTCGTAGTTAAAATTATTATTTTTTCCTTTTCAAAATTACGTAAGAATATTCGAAGAATAAATCCATGAAAGGAACATTTAGAATATTCGTAGAATTCATGAATTTTTAATCTTCTTAAAAAGTTTACCGTTTATAGGATGGACAGAAGTATAAATTCAGTTACAGAAAACCGTTGATTTATAAACCGTTTGCATTACAGTTGTTCTTATTCTCATAATAATCTCGTACTAAATTCTTATTTTCGTGCTGCCGGCTTAATGTCACCTCTCGGTCGAATATTATTTGTTATTTTGATATACAGCGTAATCTCGATTATACATTGCGTACATACATCATCCGAACGTTCTGTCATCAGAATATTGTATAATTCTCTATAGTGTATTTCATATACGTATATACGTATATACCTATATACATGTTTAATCCACGTAGTATTTATTTCCCCCTATCAAAATTGTCGACGACAACAATTGTCGAAATAAAATCTCGTCTCAACATTTCAGTACTGTATTTACATTCGAAACGTTTCAAACAATAATGACGTCAAGACGAAAACCGTTATATTTGACAATTACTGATAAATACACCGGTATATTTGCCAATTGTCGATAAATACAGAATCACTACGATGAGAGGTAAAGGCAAAATTCGACAAACCATAATGGAAAAGTACGGTATTCCAAAATCCACATTGATCAATATATGTATAAAAAGCGAAGTGATTTCAAATCAATGCGGGATCCTCATGGGTTTCACACGGAAACGTTCGGAAATAGAGAGAGCTATTTACCACTGGTACTTACGATGTAAGGAAAGAAAGGTAAAAATGACAGGAGTAGACATACAGAATGAAGCTCGAGAAATTAATCATAAATTAAACGGACATCCTAATTTTAAAGCCAGTTCCACTTGGTTGCGAAACTTTAAAGAACGTTACTGTATTACTACTAAGGATATAAGGGAATATTTTGAACCCGCAATTCCATTCATTGAAGGGCACAACTTTAAAGCTGATTTTAACAGATTACTGGAAGAAGGTGGGTTCACATTGAAGAACGTTTACAATGTCGCTTACACAATAGTAATGTGGAAAGCAGTATCAGATGAAACTTGTATTTTGAACCATGCGAAATCGACAAGAAACTTAAAAATGTGCGATGGTTACGTTACTGCACTTTTTTGTGCAAATGCTACCGGATGTCACAAGTTGCCGGTACTAATAATCGGTAACGTTCCGGAAACTCATAGTTTATACAAATTCAAAACAGAAGCCTTCACAACTATCTATATATCAAACACCAGTGCTTGCATGGACAGTACCATTTTCAAACAATGGTACAAAGAGCATTTTTTAAAATCAATCGAAGGAAGACAACGGGAGAACGGGTACGAGGGCAAATATTTGTTGTTACTAGATAATACTACGTTGCTTCACGATATCAATGATATTAATAATATAGACCCATTAGTAGAAGTTACGTCTCCTCCACCTAACGTATCACCACACAATCAACCAATGAATTGTGGTGTAATCACATGTTTCAAGCGAAAGTACCGAATAGAATTACTGAAAGCAATAAAGCCATTATCTATCTACAATACGGAGGTAGAAGTGATAGACCTCCATAAAGAATTAAGCATATGGGATTGCTGCCGCATTGTACATGATGCTTGGTCACATGTCGAAGATTCAATACTGATAAGCTCGTGGCACAGCCTTTTGTATTCTATGGACACGTGGTATATAGAATTTGTAGAAAAAGACGATATTGACGCATATAAAACAGTTGAATTTCTGCATAAATTACCTGGATGCGAACAGTGCCAGAAAATCAATGTGTTGCATTGGTTTTATATTGATACCGAATATGATGTAATCCACAAGGTATGTGCCGATGAAGTTGTTCGAGAATTTGAAAAAAATACTCTGGGTCCAGTGAGCATAGGTGAAGCTGGATCTACTCGTGCGAAGCTCTCGAGAAGGAGCTAACGTGGTTTGAAACACAAAATGAAAGTAACTCGGTGGAATTGCTTCTATTAAAACGCGTATATTAAGAAATTTGTTGAGAAATATAATATGATTTAGCGATAAAAAATTGTGAAACCCGTATGATTTTATGTAGCGTTCAATTGTTTGCTTGTACCATTTGGTTTGAAGTACAGAAAAAGCTGTTGTTCTATCATTCAAACACATTTATCATTATTAGTTCCAATAATCAAGATTCTACTATATATGGAAGGCAAGGAAAGGCGCGCAATGTTATTCTTGTATTTACGTTCTCTTTGAACTTTATACTTTGAATTTGGCAAATTAGAGTTAAAGTAATTGTTAAATTAAATGTTTACTGGAAATATAGAGATGGATCGATGAATGTATTAAACAAGTATATTGTCGCACAAATAAATGATGATGACTTTAAAATCATATTTAAAAAATGTCTTCTAGAAAAACATTATCTACCAAATAGTATAACCTTGCCTGCGTAGTTATTTTCATAATATTAATAACGAAGTTATTTAGATGCCCCGATTTATGTATCCCATTCTGTATATCAGCGGATATTTATCAGTGCGAGTACCTACCAAAGCCGGTAGATACGCGGCTAATCAATGCAAAACTTGAATTGGAACTAAATTTATATTGCTAAAATTATATGATATAGAAACATATACATTCACACAAATGGGCTTCTTTTTCTCTTCCTTCTTTCTCGCATTCTTTGTAATTGGTCTTGTTAAACGAAAAGGGACTTATAATTGTAAGTAATTAACTAAATGTAATTATTAAGAATGGCGACCTCGACGATGTATATGACTTTGAAGTACGTTAAGGAAAGTAAAAGTCAAAAGAAACTAATAACTATTATTCCGAGGATTTACGATTTACTGAATATACGCTATTAAATAAGCAATAGCGTTGGACTATATCATTAAACGTAAATGTTGATACAGTTACTCCTTAACATATGTCTCTAAAATATTTATATCTGTTTAAAAGAAAGTAGTAGGGCTAATATTTCTTCATAAGGAACTACATCAATCAATGCATCGAAAGATATAATCTTATTTTGAAAAATGTATATAATCTTCTTCGTATCTCAACACCCATATCTGTCTATATTCTGCCTACATCGTACTATATCACTCTAGATCTCCCTTATATGTTTTTGAACACAATTTTCTTCTTCAGTGTTCCAGGCCGAAATTATTCGTCCAAGTTAACCGTGTCAGTTAAAAGTATTTACAATTATGTGCAATAAATACCAAGAAGGTAACAATTCTATTTACATTTCTAAATTTGTAAAAGTATTAATCGCGAAATATTGGTTGATAAATCTGTATTTGAGAACCAGGTCCATATTTGCAGAAATTTAGTTATATGTACTCAAACTTCTTTATCAGATTATTACATCAGAATAATACATATTAAATGATAAATATTTAATATATACAGCTTCATGCTCAATGTTATCGTATATAAATAATCTGTATAATCATCATAATCATTCATTGTTAGAAATTGTAAAAGAAAAACTCTTTGTTACATTTAAAACTAAACTTACCAGTGTTGGTTAGATTGACTGATTTCAAGCTTTTGCACAAATTTAACCATATTTAAACGTTATCATATCGCTTTATAATTTCAGAATTTACCTAAAACATGCATACAATATATTTTCCGTATTTACTTTTAGTTTGTTTTTTTTTCTTTTCTAACAATGTTCGACCGTTCGCCGAGAGACGTAATCGCGAGGAAGCGCGCCAACGGGAATCGTAAATTCCCGTTACGATTAGATAATCGGCGCCACGAAATGATCGATCCGTTATTTCGTTTAGGATAATAGAGGTGGTTGAACTGATTATAACACTGAAATAACAGATTACAATATACACTATATTCAACAAGTTTATGGACATAGACAGTTACGCTCGGTGTGTATAGATATAAGTTAAACAGGTGACTGATCTAAGACTGATAAACCAGCCAAGACATTGACTGGTTAACGCATGAAAAACCAGTCAAGGGATGTTGACTGATCTAAAGATGGAAAACCAGCGAAATTCGGTGACGATGCTGACGCAGAGTTACTGGATGTTGGTCGTCCCATCACTGGTCACTTGCGGGTAGAAATACCGCGAAAAATGGGAAAACCCACGTTTCTTCACTGATGGAGCAATAACCATAAGGAACGTCTCGACTTGAATATATTTTAATACTATTAAGGGCCCTAACGGTAAAATACAAATGCTTAGTTTTATTACAGTTCCTTAGGATTATTGCGGTCCGACTAATTATATTTGCACAGCTAGTGGTCGCCTCCACCGAGGGATGGATTCCGGGTTACACGCAGAGTCACCGGACGTAACTCCGGTGGGCACGCAGCAGGTGATAGTAGTGGTGCCAGCTGCATATTTTCCCAAAGATAATCCTAATTTAAATATAAGAACGGGTCTGACCATAACCACGGCAAGAATTCTTCCTAGGATTAAGAAATGCTATAGATGTCATCTAATAGAGCATTCAACGAGTCAGTGTAAAGCGATCAGACCTGGCAAGGAAATATGCAGAAGATGTGCTGCGCGATGTGTAGCACCCGCAAACTAAACAACACAAGGTAGAAGATGTGGAAGTAAAGACAACAATATGTCAAACTGCAACAACGAGGCATGCTGCGCGATGTGCAGCACCCGTAAACTAAGCAACACAAGGCATGTCACAGGCTCATTGGCGTGCCCTACGTACAGATTGACTTTGAAACAGGGTTAAAATTAAGATCTTGCAGACTAACCTGAATAGGTGCAAACTAGTACAAGACTTAATGTACCAGTACGCTTGCGAGTACCGAGTAGATGCGGTTGTCATCTCAGAATCGTATAGGCAGTAAGCGTACTGCTTTAACGATGCGAAAAATGACGCCTCCATTTGGATTACACTGTTCAATGGCAGGTTTCTTAAGGAAGATACATTAATTAATAAGAATGGAATAGTGGTCCTGGTAATTAACGATTGCTTCCCCATAAGTGGGAATTGTTCGCTCAACATCAACAAAAATGAGTTTAATAAATACGTTAATAAATAATCTGAGGAAAGACAATAGGAAACATCATAAAATCATTATGGCGGGAGATTTTAATGCAAAAACGATGGCTTGTGGAGGAAATAACACAGACAAGAGGGGCATAACATTAATGGAAGTGTTATGCAAGCATGGTCTGTTTCCAATTAGACTGAGACAAAAATACACATACATTAGGAATGGGAGAACTAGTTGCTCGGATGTAATCAGTGGAGATAATCAAAACGACTAATATACACGAAAATAATAGTCTTAAAAAATTATTCAACCTTTGGCTATTACTATATTTTACACAACTTCAAAACGAAAGTAAATAGCAGCAAATCTAATTATTTTAAATTTTCTGTATTTTCGCACGTTCGCTCCTTCAATGTAGCTCCTCAATGTATAATATTCCAAAATTTATTGGATG